TAGTTCAGGCAATTTCATCCGTGTGAATGTTATCATCTTCTGTGCCGTTGAGCGCGTTCGAAATCCCGCATGTCGTTAGATGATTTCTCCATCATCTCCTCTGGAATTTCTGCTTAAGCCTGTTTCACTTTGGATCGCTGCACAATTCTTTCACCTTTAGCCGCAGAATTTATCCGCTGATAGCATTCCCGTAAAGAATGAATAAAAGCGAGATTTAGAGTAACTGCTTTGACTAGCCAGAAGTCGTGTGTAGGATTTTTAAGATGAGCCCAGGAGGCTGTCTTTGACAGCTGTTTAATGATTTTCTTAGCAGTAAACGTCTGTAAACATCAGATCGTAGGTGCTCGCGCAAGCACACGCAATTGTCAGCGGTAGCTATAACAGATCATAAGCAAATGTCGATCTTATAGAATCCAGATTTTTAAATGCACGAGAACGTGTGTGGAAATCGGTAAACTTGCGAAAGCTATTGCATGAAAACAAGTCTGGTGACCCCTTCTTTTTATTGTTCCAATATGATAATAACGTCAAAAGGAATCATCAGAAAAGAAAAAATAGAAAATTCTACAGAAGGAAATTTGCGATGTGTGAAAATTGCGTTTTTTGTAGATTTTCTGAAATTCCGCTCTGTAGAAATTTTTAAAAATCTTTGTGCATTTCCCTTTTCAATCCAAAAGCAATCACTGAAAAAAATCAGGGGATCACTGGGTTAGTTTTCGAATTATTTAAGCCACAAACTAAAAAATGCGTCTGAATAAGCGTATGAAAGCATTGCCATGGAAACTGCTAGTGACAAATTGACACCTGTTTTTGGATAACCAGTGATTATAAAATTCAACCCCATAAAAGTATTCAACTGGCCTTGGTCAGCCTTTCTGTTGCATTATTTCAAAGTTACAAACCATCAAAAAGATGAACACCAGTATGAGCCACCTTAATGCAGCAATTAATTTCAAACAAGTATTCTTCTTGTTTCTTATCCAGAACCAGGAAATCCTGTGCAACCAGTTTCCAGGGAAGCAACAAATACAAGACAATTTTCTCACGGAAATATTTCCACCATGGCGAGGTTACCACTCTCAATAAAACCGCCATTCGATCCCTCACAAGGGACATCATCAGTGATAACACAGCCTGGGCAGCCTGCTAGCCTTGCAACACCTCTAACACTTGCAATCTCACCTGAATCTGACACAAGAAATTCTGCAAATCACAGAGAAAATGACAGCGGTTCTTTGCTTTTGGCAAGAAGAAGAGATGGTACTTATTTCCCCTCTCACTCAAGCATTCTTTCAATTTCACGTCGCAAGAAGACAGCTCGAAAATCAGTTTTCCAACGTAAAGTCTCTCCAACCTCCAGTCCTAATCCTATGCTGCATAGGAAGGCCATGCATGGAGAAGTAATTTATTCAACCAATTTACTGTCCAGGAAAAACAGGGAAGGTTTTGATGCAGCTGCAAATGAGTCTATGAATCATCCTGAAGCAGTTGATTCCCCAGGACTGTGTGACAGCACTGAAAATGGAAACTATCGCCCTTCCCTTCACGGAACAGGGGAAGAGATGGAAACAGAAAGCAATCATAGAGACATCTATAGCAGTGATACTGTAGCAGCATTTTCAGTTGAAGATTCAGCAGGGTTTCCCAATTTTCCAAATCTTGAAAGCTCTTCAACAAATGGGTCAAGCCCTGCCATCAGTGATGGCCATCCAGCTGTTATTGATATCCACAGTGACTCAAGGGAGACAAGTGGTGGAGAAAATGACTCAGACTCAAACTTTGTTAGTTCAGAGAACAGTCCTCCACAAAACCATGCCGCCCAAATGAAGAGCTCACATAGAAATGGTCAGCAAGGTTCTCACATACTAGATATCGATGAAGCACAGTCCTTCCATCCAAAAACGGCAATTGTAGTCTTACCAAACACAATCCAAGTTAAGACAGAACCCAATGAAGTTCTTTCCATGTCAAATGGCCACTCACCAGAGCCAAATACTGAGGAGAGAAGTCAACCACACTTGCGTAGTAGTCCTGAAAGAGAAAATAGAAGCTTGGGTCCCTCTGTGCAGAATTATACCTTTAGTCAACAAGTCTTACCAACAAGTTCTCAAGATGGCCTTCCCAATTCAGCACCTGTTCATTCAGGTCCATCTCTGCCGCAAGTTGTTGATGTTGTTGGTGCTTGTCCAGATCAGGAGGACCATACAGAGAGCTCAGCAACACATCCTCCAGGTGGACCTTACCAGGACATGAAGGAGTACAGTTGTGACATATGCCATAAGCAGTTTGACTCTGCGAACTCTTTACTTCGCCATAAACGTTCCCACACTGGAGACCGGCCCTACATCTGTAAAATCTGTGGGTGGGGCTTTAACTTAAGTGGCAATTTGAACCAGCATCTAGCAATTCACCAAAAGGTCAAGCCTTTTAAGTGTGTCTACTGCGGGAAAACCTTTGCTCGTTCCAATGTGTTGAAGGCTCATGTCCGATGCCATACAGGAGAACGGCCGTTTCAGTGCCAGTTATGCGGAAGCAAGTTCATCATTGGTCATAACTTAAAGAAACATATGGTGACCAGACATGGAGTCAAGGAAGATGACAGAATCTTTTCACAAAATGATGCCCCCGAGGACAACGGGAGATCTCACAGTAGCGTGTTCTCACAAAATAGTACCTCGGAAATCAATGGTAGGTATCAAAGAAGTGACAACAGTGAAAATGTCAGCATACCAAAGTCGCAATCATAAAGATATAATGTTGTATTAACTATTTTTCTCTGAATGCTGTTAAAAGATTATTTTTAATGCATGAGATATCTACCAGACATTATCTGAGCTTCTTACACTTTTAAACCAATTTTAGAGATTTTACTTTGATTATATATATTAAGTTTATCTTAGGATAATTTATTTTCTCCAAAGTATGAAAATAGCAATTATAAATTTTGAGAAATCGTTTGGTCATTAATTAATTTTGGTCATAACACACTAACAAAATAAAGACAAATACATTGACCGTTTCACTCCCAGGATTGACCAAGCCTTACTTTCTCCAGACAATATCCACATATTTTCAAACATGAAGGTGATGAGTTGTATAAAGCATCAACTTAGGGATATCACATGATTTCTCACCAAATTCTCAGATCTGAAACATAAGAGATGTGTGGCAGTCAGTGTGGAGAATTGATATTCAGATCTTGGGAGTGAAATGGTTCTTAGTGTGAAAGATGCATGTCTTATTAACAGCTTTCTCTTTCTATTGGGAAAACAGACAGCATGAGTGCTGTTCTATATTTTATTGAAATTATTTAAGAAGACTCACGAATTAGTGATGAAAGATTTATAAAAGAGGGAAAGTATCACCTTTTTTTTTTTGTTGTTTTTCTGTGCTAATTTTTGTTCCCTTCATTGTTCTAGTATTGCATTTAAAATTGATTTTAAACATTCAGATGTAAAGTTTTAAGTAAGGAAATTATGTTTAAATAAATGGGTTTTTGTATATCCAAAGTAACTTGTAATCATTTCACATTGAAGAAGAGGAAAATATTATGATTAGGTAGCAAATCTGCTGGTGTACTCTCAGTGATCCAGGGGTTTCAGAGAAAGCCTGTTGCCATTTGTCTACTTCTGCCTGTAAGACCTTTCACTGTCATCCGTCTAACCTGCAAGCAGACTTGTGTTTGGGTTTATCCTTACAGGACAGCTGTCTGTTAGACCATGGGCAGCCTCTTATGGGAAAGGTTACTGAAACCCCTGCTGTTCGCAGAAGTTATTATTTATCTATGACTTGATACTATTGACTCCCCTGAGTGAACAAGACATAATTTCTCCTTACAATATCAATACAATATCAAGTAGACAAGTGATGAGAATAAAGAAACACCATTAGTTGATCCAATACCAAATTCTCTGATCTAACATCATGATAATTGTCTGGAAGACAGTAAGGAGAATTACTAATGAGATCTTTGGGGGGGAGAGTCAAGCGGAAACTTGACACACAGTCAGCTCAGAGGTGTGCATAAGTTTCAGGCTTTATCTTAATCGAGTAATAGTGAATTTTGATGAAACTTTTCACAATGAATGTACATGGACACTGTATCACATAGACATTAATATAAATGAGTATTCAAATTTTATTATGTTTTAAGAGAGTGTTGCTTTATTTTTTAATGGAAGGCATTGAATATATTAAGCAATTGGCGAAGCTAGGAAAGGTCTTGGGAGAAACAAGCAAGTACACAGGGTTGTCATTAGAAAATGTAATGGTTGTATGATCTGACTAAGGCAGCTGAATTGAATTATGCTTCAGAAGCAAGCATGATGTCATGTACAAAGTGAAATGCCCTTTCTAGTTGAAGCTATATGAGATGCGATCTAGGATCAGTTCAGTAACCAGCATAAATTGGTCTGACATCTACTGGGTTTCGCCCTCCTGCCGGCTCCTAATGACAACTCTGAATATCAGCCATAGAGGATACTTTCTGCTACAACATTTCAGGCTTTGCATTAGCTGTACCATCTAATAAAAATCCTAATTTATGTTAAAATCAAGGAATTATTGTATTTAGATTTTAACCAATTTAAAGTATGCACATGTTTATTTTATGACTGTAATTTTTAAATGGATTGTTTTGTTACTGTGTAATATATGCTGTCAAGTTAACTTTATTTTTCCAAACAAATATTCTTAATAATAATATTGTTTCTTGGTCCAAAACTTGTTGCTGTGACAGAAAAGTGTCTTGTTGTGTATTTATAACATAATCACAGAATTTATGTAGACAGAGAATTATAATTTCACTAAAACAGACTATTTTTCCATTTTTTGTGTACTCAATAAGTATTTCCTGTCAGATATTTTGCTATATTTATTGCCATCCTGAAGAACCAGGGAAACTTCAAATAGCACTGAATGCCAGCTAAAGTAATAAAAGATTATTAAAGGCCTCTTTAGAGTCTTTGTTTTTTCATAACAAACCAGCTAACCTGTCCAGGAGTGACCAAGACAGAACTTGTCCCTATAATACCAATACAACATCCAGCAGACAAGTGATAAGAATAAAGAAACAATATCAATTAGTATATACATACTCAGTGATCTTGGCATTTCAAGCAATCTGATTGGTTCGCTTTCTCTGGCTAATCAACAATGTACACCTCCGAGTGAGTGGATAGTGTGAAAAACAAAATGGCAGGCATAACTCGCGTTTCGCTAAAGCTTCAAAAGCAGAAATTGCCTTTAAATGGCTTCCTTTTAATTTTGTCAAGATCACTTTGTGTGTATATACTAAAACAATTATTCTTGTCAATCTTGGTGAATAGCGGCTTTCAGGAATATTTACCTCGCCGCTTCACGGCTCGGTACATATTTAGCCACTATTCACCTAGATTTCAAAGAATAATTGTTAATTATGGCATTATTAGTTATCAATTACCAAATTCTCGCAAGAAATTGTATGGCAGACAATAAGGAGAATTCCTAAAAGGATNGGGGGGGCGCAGGTAGTTTTGTTTTAATGCATTGCAACTTCCATTTGATTTCTTTCCTAAGAGCTCAGACATTTGTCACCAGGTTTTGGAAATCAAAGTTAGGAAAAATTCATTATGAAAAATGCCATTGGATCTCACAGTCAGTTGCCACAGACTGACAAGTGTTTGTTCTATTTCCACTTGTCATGTGCAAAGAAAAACTTAAAGTTTAAAATATTTAAAGAAAAAACTTAAAGTTTTTTCCTGCAGGTAAACAGATATAGGATTCAAAATTAAGTTTACCAGAGATAGACAGAGCTAGAACGAGCTATAATTATGTAATTTTTCGCTACTGATGGTGGCTAGAAGTCTAACGATGACAAATACAATACTTTGATGAAAGTACAAAGTTACAAACAATATTTTTTTATTCAATCGCTTATGCGGTTATATAATCTAACTAGAACGATCTACACCGCAGATACGAGAAACTGGGATTTGCAGGTTGGGTTTCCTGAACAAAGAGAGTCTGGGAAATATTGAATACGTCAAGTAAAGCTGTAACTAAAATCGATATTTGTATGTATATATATGTAGAAAGTTTAAAAATTGCGAGGATGGACAACTTCTGACGTCAAAAATATAAAAAATTTTAATAAAAAACGTTTCGGTCCGAGACCTTCTTCAGTTATTTACAACTTTTGAAATAAAAAAAGAGAGCATTAAATAAGATCGAAGTGCTAATGATTACGTTACAGATAACGATTAATGAACTAGTGCTAATAAAAAGATAACAAAAAACCTTACCAGTTTATATATATATATAAATATAAACTGGTAAGTCGAGGGACATAAAAGCTCGTCATTACACTTCAGAAAAAGAAAAGTCTTTTCATGTTAGCTGACTTTCATTGATTTTCCCGAAACAGTTCGTCGGAACCAAAGGAGCAATAATTCTTTTCTTCTCCAAAAAGACTAAAGACATTAAATGGTAACCTTGATCAAATGATGATGAATAATGACCCTCAAACAAATGCTTTAAAAGCATATCTTCAACTTTTAAAATAAATTCAGGTAACATTAAGAGGTCAAAGTACTTACGTTTCATTACAGTAACAGTCACAGGTCTGTACGTTGAGGGTGAAGTGATTTTCACCATAGTGCACGATTCCAGAGAATGACACTTCACACAGAAGCAAAAGCTAATGAAGAGAAATCATATTGCGAAGCTTAAATTTACGCTTCGTTCGTATTTCGCCTACAAATTAATGTTTTAAGAGAGGTATGCTCCTGATTTCATTTGATTTTTATATCTGCAACGAAAACTTATAGATGGAATCATACCACTGACTGAGTTTTGGGATTTTGAGAGCAACTTAACCGTTCGAAAATTTGTCTTCAAACGTGCCAATAAATTTCACTTTAGATGCCGCCATTTTGAAAATAACTTAGGTAAGTGCGCCGCACGCGCCAAATGACGCAGGGTGCGGTCCAAAAAAAAACTGTTGCTATGGTTATCACGGAAAAAACAGTAACTGAGTCAAGAATGCTATTTTATGAAGCTCCTAACCGTTCACCAAGAGATGGAAAAATACGAAGAGAGACAGGCGGCAGTTAGGTTAAGCAAGATTCAAAATGGTGGGGTCTGATGATTTTCTCTTTTATGATACCAATTTTGGTAAAGGTTAGGTTTAATGACAGAGGAAAAACCATCAGCATCTATTATCAAGTGCAGTCGTTGACGAATGTTTGTTCGCTATAGATTTTAGCAAGGAAAACTTGCCAATAGAAAGAAAACTAAAAGTCCTTTTCGAGTCATCTACAGCAACAAATTAAATCTTGTCGTTTTTTCTTGCCTCTTTGCTCAAAACTGCCAAGGCAGGTTTTTAGAGAGTAGGAAACGAAATACGTTAATCAAAGCTCGAATTATGATATTAAGATCAATCAAACAACTGAAATTAATGCCATGTGTTCGTTTTACAAGTTATAGATTATATACCTGCTGTCTCACCTGTTCAGTAGAAACACCACATCTGTATCCGGGCTCTTACAGCAGTGTTTAGTGCACTTATCAACAGTCATATGACTTAAGTCGCCTGGTTCCCAGGGCGTGTAGGTCCCTGCCTCCATTCTACCCTGGAGAATCACATCAGGGTACGTTCTTTTCTTGACGCAGTACGAAACATCATTGGCCTGGACTTGTAGCACTGTGTAAGATAAGCAAATGTTTCGGTTGAAAGATATCACATTGCTGTTTATTTGAGTCCTCCGCGAGACTGCAGAGAAACCCCATTTGAAAATGGTTTAACCTGTGTAACTTTAAGTCAAATTTGGACACGAGTTTCCTCAGCATTGTGGCAAACGTGCACGAGAGTAATGTTAGAGGACACTAAGACTGTCGCCAAAATAATGACATATCATCAAAAGCACGCGCAAAATTTAAAAATGTCCCTTTCACCAGGTAGTCCCTTCCCATGATGCCACCCCTCCCCCAGCGATGTTCTATATGAACTTTTTGATCGGCACCTTTGCTGTTAATTAATGTTGTTCAGGGGAGAGGAGGGGGGAATCAATCCCTGCGAAAACACCAACGACTAGATTTTCCCGGCTTTATGAATTTAAGCTGTTATGTGTGAAGTATGCGTCACCTTATCCTGTAATTTCCAAATGTCTAACAAAGCTTTTTGGCAAAGGTTCGCTCAAGACAGTAAAAAGAGGAGAAAAGAAGCAAGATTCAGTTTCACTCACCTAGTATACAGTCAAGGAATGTACAAAGTGCCATTAAGAGTATCCAACCATCGACAGACATGCCTTCGTATCAATTGCCAACGTTTGAGCTACTTTAGCAACAATACCGTTTAAATTGGCTCCCGTTTAAACACTCGAAAAGGTTACGATGAGCTACCGAATATCTGTTGTTGGCCTGCGCTGTAGAAGTACGGTAAATATAAACTCTACGTATAAATATACAATCTGCGTAACTATACTCAGCATGCTTACCTTTCATACGTAAACAACCACAATCTGTCTCCTGCTAGGTAGAAACCGATGGAAAAGTCATTATATTGTTTTGATGCCAGACTCTATTATGATAATTTGACAGCCCTTTTTGGCGGAAATCAGTGTAGTTCCCGCGGAGGAGATGTGAGGCTCTTGGTCAATTTCTTTTCTCAGCGGGGTACGTCAATCGTAGATCTAGAATACGCTCGTCTAAAAACTAACTTTACCCTCGAGCGAGATCTTATTACAGCTGCGATACGAAAAGCAAAGACCCGCGAGATTCGAGACAACGAGCGAGGCAAGCGTACGAGAAATCTTAGAGGGGTCAGACACTTTCCCGCAAGAATCCTCTAGAAAATATCGCGCGCTTACACCTATACCAATGAAAGCTTATTCTCAGGCTTACACTAGTCCAGCCGGCCATTTCATTTCGCGAATTCTCGCAGTGTCCAATGTGCTCCACAGTTAGTTTATAACAAAGACAATCTAACCCACCTCCGACAGCATACAGAAAGATTGCTGTTTCGTTATGAAAGTAATTCTCAGAGAAAACAGATCCGATGTCGTCGGCATTTATTAACATAACAAATTTACGAAGACGCCTGGAAAAGCTGCGGAAAGATCCACTGGGAATCTCGCTCTAAGAGATTTTAACTCCACTTTCATTTATCAACAACGAACAGCCAGTAATGCTCTTTGAATGTTAGAATTTTTTTGATCATTCCTTTGATTGATTTCCCTCCTCAAGGGCTTTTAGAGGCAAGGCATCCAACAACCTTTACAAGTTGAAGTGTGACAGTTAAAGGAACAGTGCCACAGTACTTTTAGTAATTCATGGGTCGTTGAAATTTTTCATTTATCGAAAAGAAAGACTTTTGATAATGGCTTCTATCAAAAGTCCACCCAAGCAAATAGTTGGTTAGGATGGACGAACCTAGCAGAGGTAACGAAAAAGGAAACAACAAGGATGGTTAAGTTATGGTTAGGATCGAAGGAAAGTCAAAGCAAATCCTGATGACGAACTTGAAATTCCAGGTTAATATTCCAAGATGCGCTACTGAGCTGTGATAAAGTTCCTCGAATACTTAAACCATCCTATGATTTGAAAGAGTATTCTCCCACTAAACAGACGAGAAAACATTTCCTTAATGAGTACTCTTTATAACAAACCATTATCCCCTTCTTGACTGCTATCTTCGTTCTTATTATATGCCTGTTTAACTTTGTCCCAAGTCTGGAAGAAGAATTTCCTTGTTGATCACTAATTGAAAAATAAGGGTTTTTTTTTCCCTAAATAGTGAATAATAACTCAGGGAACTGGCCCCCTCTGATGCTTGTTCCATTACCAGAGTACTTACTATTTGTAAACGTGATTTTTACTCCGCAACAATTTACTATCTCGTGACCATTTGTTCCATGCATCGATTCCGAACCTATGATCAAAGCTTCTACAGCGTATGACTGATTTCTTTTTAAAACAGGAGGAGCGTCAAACAAAATCTCAAATCCATGATAGTGACCAAAATTGCTTGACAAGGCCTCTGATTTAAACCATCCTGCTTTTGACAACACAACGGACTTGTTCTTAGCAATTTTTATCTCGATATCAACCCAGTAGCTATTTTCCTCTTTACCAAAAAGCCGCAGCCCACGTAACGCAATCTCTCCGTCAGCGCAAAAGTTCACGCAGTCTCTGGAGGAGTCCATATAGCTCCAATTGCTGTGAGAGACAGAACCAAACCTACAGCATCTTTGGATTTCACCGAGGAAACCAGACCTCTTTGCTTCCGGAAATAGTGACGGACCACTCGATACTAAGTTAATACGTTTGATAACGCTCACGATTTCTTCTGCTGTTAATATTTTGCTGTCTAGTGCCAGAGCGGCAAAATTTTCTTGTTTCATCGTAGGGAATCGAATTGACCTGATTACTCTTTCTCCAAGAACTTTTCTCTTTGTTAAACCATTTGCCACTAAACCTTGCTTGTCACAGTCATTTGTAGCCCACAAGTCAACGGCTTTGAACAGGTCCATCTCATTAATATTCAGCGAGTCTCTTTCAACTAAAGCTTCGAGTAAGGATCTTTCAATCGTCAAGAATCCATTCCCAGATTTTACCGCTTCTGCGGTGCGTTCATCTATTACTTTCCAGCAACGTTCCACAAGTTTCTTCTCATCATATTTCTGAGCAAATTTTAAGACAATGAACACATTCAATTCATCCAAGTTGTGCCACAAATGTTGCGCGCATTTCTCTGCCATTGAAGGCACCATGTATTTCTTCGCCAAATAAAACACTCCCATCACGTTACTTCCATTCAAACCCACTTCATCGCTGTACAGGTAACGAAAAAACTCCAACAGACTCTCGTACTCACAGTCAGGCAGTTCAATAGAGTCGCTAGTCTCCGCCAACCCACCATAAAACATGGCTTCGAACACAGGACTGCTAATCGACAGCACGAGCTTGTGAGCTGGAATACTTTTCTTGCTTTCACATTCGCCAATTATCCTTGGGACAACAAACCAAACATCGCTGAACAGATCGTTGTTAAAAATAAACTAACTCCTTTCTCTGATAGCGAGTTTTGTTGTCTGCCAATTCATCTGAGCCACAGACATATTGAAGTAGTATCGGAGAAGTTTAGGCAAGCTGGACAACTTTAACGTTTTTGTTCCTTAGCAATAAAAGGGATAAATACAGAAAAGCATCTGCTTGAGACGTGATTAGGATTAATCTTAGAAGCAATTTTGCATATCAAGTTACCTTGCTAGAATGATCAACTTCTCATTCCATCTTGGCTAAGAATTTTGAAAAATATCATGACATTATTTATTTATAGGTGCCGATGTTAGCATCGTATACTTCCGAGAGTTTTGTTGTTCGACACAGTATAGATCCGAAGAAATAACTTGGCACAAAAAGACTTTTCTCATCAAAATGACTTGATAGCATAAAAACGAAAGTCACCATGAAGACAAAGTGATTATTCTCCATGGAGAGCTAAGGAAATTTTGGTGAGAGTTTGAATTCTCTTAAAACTGTGGGGTCAGAGTTTGAACACTTAAGGGAATGGTGAGAATTTTCTAGATTGGAGGTCATCTATACGGGTCCTTCATTAGTATTCATTAGCATTTAAGGTTAGGCAGGGGTCGCACTGTGGCCTTATTTTGTTTTATGTCGCGTCATAAGTTGTCCCACAAATATATAGCGACATTTACACCACGGGAGTCATGGCGGTCGCAAGTGCGCGACGTAAAAGGTGTTTGAAACCAGACTGTCAACTCTTAATATTTCACGCGCGAAAAGAGCGCCAAATATAATTTTATAGACATGAGTCTGGTGTTAGTTTTGTTAGCGACATTTCCTCAACCTTTGTTTAATTTGTTCAATGTACAAAACCTTATTGGTTTGTAAGCATTGTACAACATCCGCCAACGGAAAATGTTGGTTCTTGCCGCTTTAAACCGACGTCGACGGATGCAGAGAAGAAAAAATTGCCGATCATACGTATTTAATACCGCAGTTCAAAATATATGAACTTCATATATTCATTGTATCTGATTTATCATCACGGGTTTATTACGAATCAACTTAACGGCCTGCGG